CAGGGGTGGGTAATGAAAACCCCTGTAAAAAAGCTGTTAAACCAAGCTGCAACACAACATTCATTACCCAAGCTACAACATACATTACCCACCCCTGTAAAAAAGCTGTCAAACCAAGCTATAAAAAGCTGTCAAACCCAGGGGTGGGTAATGAATGTTGCAGCTTGGTTTGACAGCTTTTTACAGGGGTGGGTAATGAATGTTGCAGCTTGGTTTGACAGCTTTTTACAGGGGTGGGTAATGAATGTTGTAGCTTGGTTTGACAGCTTTTTACAGGGGTGGGTAATGAATGTTGCAGAAATGTGTAAGTGTTTCTGAGGAGTGTTTTTCAGTAACTGACGAACAAACTCGTGTCAAACCGATACTGCCGAATTTTGCTTAGTTTAGGCGAACATTTGAAAAAAAATCGTAACGACAAACTGGACTTCTTGCATGTTTGTGATATTTTCAGGTGCTCCGATGGGACAGCAGTAAATTTACGGACGTAAAACATTAAAATTATGGGTTCTGTTCCTTTTGGTGGACAGATCTCAGATAGCCCGTTGTGTGTGCTAAAACTACCAAGCGTCTAGTTGATATATACATAGCTAAGGACAAGCAGAGGTAAAACATATCACAGCCATGTTTACAACAAAAACTTAATGACAGAAAACGACTAGTCACACTCAAGAAAAATGACTTTATTTAAATCTGACGTTTCGATTTTCACATTTCTCAAGGGTTGCAGCGTCACATACAGGTATAAACCGATAGTCGAATCACCAGTGTTCGTCGTCGTTTTATTTTTTGTAAACATGGTTTTAATCCTTCAGGTGCTGTACAAACTTTAAAAACTGGTGCTTATCACAATCATCATGTCGAACATATCCCCCAAGTAAAACTGATACTTATCACAATCGTTATTCCGAACATATCCCCCAAGTAAAAACTGATACTTATCACAATCGTCATTCCGAACATATCCCCCAAGTAAAACTGATACTTATCACAATCGTCATTCCGAACATACCCCCAAGTAAAACTGATACTTATCACAATCGTCATGTCGAACATACCCCCCAAGTGTGATCAGAACTTATTGTTGTATGTATTATCCGGATCAGTATATATATATTTCTAGAGCTACCTGTACCGTATCTTGTTTTCTAAAAATCAACTCGATATGATCGATAAACTAAATAGGTGTAACTCACCCGTGGGGAATGAAATAATTAAATAACAATGTATTTAACTTCAATGAGGTTAAACAAACAAAAATGTATTGGTATCTAGAGGACGACAAGGAAGTTCTAACACGCACGAAAGAGTGATATTTTTAAAATGAGAATCTTTTATTTTCGTAAGTTAAGTGAAACTATGTTTTTACGTTTCGTTTAAATCTGATTAATTTTTAAATAAATGTGTTTTTAATTTTGAAACGTATCCTAGATCGTCAAGGTTTGTTGTTAGTTGTCTGTGATTCTAACGTAATCTTGTATTGGATCAAAGTTTTCACCTTTATCTGAAACATCTGATTATGTCTGTTAACAAACAATGTATTTTAGTAAATTCTAGTTTACACAGAGTGGGAGGTTACTTTATGTAAGTGTAATATTTTTTTTCTAGTCATGAGAACTTAGACGTTTTTTTATTATCCATATAGAAAAAAACAACTGTGGGGAGGTGTCACGTTGTGTTACAATGTTTGCCTAATGACGTCATAGCATTTTTGTTTTTGTATATATATGATAATATCCTTAAAAAAAATTTCAACGGCAGCAAAATACACTGCTTTTACAAGTGGTTTTTATATCTGTTTTTATTTGACTTTCATGTGACAAAACCAAATATATACTCCATAAATAACTTTTATACATTAATGTTGTGACGTGTATTTTTGTAAAGATCTGATGAGGTGAATAAAAATCAAACTTCCCTTAAGGTTGAAATATTCTTATGTCTGCAGACTTCAAGATCTCCCATATCTACACATCATCAACGTATTTACTATTCAATTTAACTGTCTGTCTCTACCCAACCGTTTTAAGTTAACAGTTCTTATTTTTCAGTTAGTAATATATTGTTTGATAGTTCACTATTTTTTTTTGTTTTCCTACTTTACGATATTTTCTGGAGTAAAAACAAGAGTACTTAAAGAGTAGTGTTGGTCTGTATAAGTTTGGCCATGAATAAATTTATCTTTTTCTTGTTTTATAACACTAACCTTGTGTAAAAAAATCAGTCTTTACCAAAGACTACTGGTAAACAGTCTCCTTATTATTGAACCATATCAGAAAGTCTTTCCATATTTGTGTTAATATGATATAACAACCATGTTTATATTCATCATGTTCTTGTAGACATTA